CCACAGGGAGCCTGCACGAGGCAACCGCACGCCGCTCATCTACGCCGTCAAGCATGACTTCACTGAAGCCGTCTTGGAGCTCGTGGCCGCGGGCGCGAATGTGAACCTCGCCGACGCTGCGGGCATCACGCCGCTACATATGGCCTCGGGTGGAGGCCACATATCCACTCTCAGGATACTGATAGCACGAGGAGCGCCTCCAGACCCACTCGACAACCATGCTCGCACGCCCCTCCACTACGCCGCCCGTGCTGCCAATCCTGGTCCAGGAGGAAGCAACTTTGTGAGTGTGGTTGAAATGCTTCTGAGTGCAGGAGCGCTGCTCGGGCGTCGGGATGCAGACGGGCGCCTCGCCTTGCACAATGCTGCGACTGCTGGAAGCTCCAAGCTCATCAAAATCTTGGTGCGTGGGCGAGGGAGCTCCACCATCAACTTCAAGGACAAGGAAGGACGGACTCCATTGCACTGTGCGGTGCTGGGGGCGCGCTCGTTAGAGGCGGTGACCTCACTCCTGGACTTTGGAGCGGCCATCAACTCACAGGATCGACATGGCGACACAGCCCTGCACATGACGGCTGGGCGGCCCTACAACCACGTGGACGACGAGTTCGACGGGATGTGTTTGGAGCAGCTCCTGTCACACGGAGCTTCGGTGGCGGCAAAGAACAACGAAGGACTGAATGCCCTTTCCCTTGCTCTTAGACGGACCATGTGGTGGGGACGACCCACCGCCAGAGACTATGTGTTGCATGCCGTGCAGCAGCTTGTGGCCAAGGGAGCCTGCATTCAAGACGGCTTTGCAATGTGGCGCATGGTAGAGAGTTTCCCGTCGCTCGTGCCCATTGCCCTCAATAGGTCCTTTCGAGCGAACACCTCCGCTCGAGATTCACCCCTCCTTCAGTTAGACCTCGATTTCGGCCCGTTGACGGTCGACTGCCAGCAGCTGTGTGAGATCCAGCGGCAGAGACCACTCAACCCACAAGCAGAACTGCCCCTCCCGCCGCCCCTTCTTCGAGACTCCGAAGTGTCAATGCTCCACTACATCATGTGGGCAGGACGAAAGAGCCTTCTGAAGCACCCACTCTGCCATGCCTTCCTTCACCTAAAGTGGTTTAAAGTGCGTAAATACTTCCTGGCCAATGTTTTCTTCTACTTTTTCTTTGTTCTCAGTCTTACTGCTTTTCTCCTTTCCTCCCACAACTGCTCAAACGATCCAGAGACGTCTGGAAATGTGACTTCATTGAACGACTCCCTGTCAAACTCAAGTTCCGACGCTGATCGCAACTACAGTTTCAGCTTCGATTACCTAAAGGAAGAAGGACCGCTGAGATGTGGTTGGTCAGGTGAACACGTGGTGGGACTCACGTGGTGGTGTCTAGTCATATTTAGTGCCTTGTTAGACTTGCGCGAGATCGTCCAGATCTTGCAAAATCCTTTCATTTACATTCGCAATCTTGGCAACGTGATTGATGCCACGCTGGTTGTGTGTGTGCCACAGATCCTGGTTAGTAGTCTGGAAAACAAAGAATGCTGTCTGGCAGAGTGGCAGCAGAGTGTCGGCGCCATATCCATTATCCTGGCCTGGGTCCGACTGATGTTGTTTACTGGACAGTTCCCCAGTTGCGGCGTCTATATCGTCATGTTCTCCACTGTGGCCAAGAATGTGCTCAGGTTTCTACTTATGTATGTGCCAGTCCTTGTAGCCTTTGCTTTAGGATTCCATGTACTGCTTCGCTCAAGCACCACCTTCCAAGACTTGGGCACATCCCTTGTTACTGCGCTGGTAAGTTTTGAGCTTTCTTTCTTGCCATATCTACGTTCATTATAAGCGCGCCAATTTTAATGTTTAGATTAAACTTTGTTCTCAGTTCATTCTGGACTGCATATAATTCTTCCGTTGGAAACACTTTAAAGATATGCATTTTTATAACTTTCCTTCCAGTGCTGTGCTTATCTCAAAATACACACACACGCGCGCGCGCGCACACACACACACACATACACGCACACACACATACACGCACACGCACACACATACACACGCACACATATACACACGCACACACACACACACACATACACACGCACACACACACGCACACACATACACACGCACACACACACGTACACACACGTACACACACACGCACGCACGCACACACGCACACACACACACACACACACAACACACACACCACACACACACACACACACACACACACACATATATATATATATATATATATATATATATATATATAATGATTATAAAAATATATAAAAATGCATTTTTTTTCTTAGGGCCATTTGATGCAAGAAGCCAGCAATCCTGATGATCACAAAATGCTCATCCGGTATATTCAGTATCCATGGTAATCACCTTAGTCATCAACTCATCACGTAGTCAACACCTGATCACTGGCGCTACAATACACTCTCTTTTTTTCTCGGCAGGTAATGATGACAGGAGAGCTCGATTACGAGTCGACTTTCCTCACGCCGCAGCCACCCTTGCCGTCCGAGTCGCAGGTGCTCTCAATCTGCATTCTGGTGGTGTTCATTGTCCTGGTCTTCATTATACTCTCCAATCTCCTTGTGGGTCTGGCTGTGAGCGACATGTACGCCATTAAACAAAGGTACTTGTGAAAATTTAAGATTTTGCTATATAGGGCACTCTGAGTTATGTTTACACATATAGGACTGCGCGCGTACGTGTGCGCAAATACACACACACTCACACTCACACTCACACTCACACACACACACACACACACACACACACACACACACACACACAATCACTCACTCACTCACTCACTCACTCACTCACTCACTCACTCACTCACTCAACTCACTCACTCACTCACTCACTCACTCTCTCTCTCTCTCTCTCTCTCGCTCGCACGCATGCACGCACGCAGCCCCCCCCCCACACACACACAAACAAGCACACATGTATTTATTTATCTAAAATAATATGTATATAAAATTAATGCTTATATGGAAAGTGAATAATCCCTGCAATTATATATTACCTTTCCTTTGTCAGATCAGAAGTGTTGCGTCTCACTAGGCATGTGGAACTGATGTTGCAGGTTGAGAACCTCTTCAGAAACAGCCTAATTCCCCGCAGACTTCAGAAGTGTCTCCTGAGTAGTATTAGCCTCACTTCTGGTCTTTCATCAGATGTCACGGTGTCTGTATACCCCAACAGAACACATGGCTTTGCAGATACTATATTCCTGTTGCTTATCAGAATAGTCAGAGCAAGGAAGCTCCTCACCAAAATCTTCGAGATTTTTGTATCGGGATTCATAGCCCCTGAGTATGAGCCCTCACTCCCCTCCCAGCTCATGGGCGAAGCGGTTAACATGGCACTTAGAGAACATGAGCTGGACAAGCGAGAAGAGAGACTCCATCTCCGAGCATTGCAAATAGGACAAAACAAACAGGCAGGGTCTTCCCAGCAATCTAACTCCCAAGTTCCAGTTACCCTGAGGTCATCAATCATTAGGCCCTCTTGTGTAGAGAGAGCATCCTGGAGATGGACTCTGGCAAGTGATACAGATGTTGAAGAAGATGGAGACCTCTTCCATCCTCCTTTGCAGCAACAGACATCAACTTGGAGCACGCGGCATCCCTCCAATTCAGGAGCCCAGCGGAATGTTTTACCTGACTCTCACGCTCGTCTTGAAGAACTAAGGAAACTAGTTATTAATCTTCAGGCGGCTGTTGAAACATTGTCCACAACGGTGCAACAAAACCAAAGTACATACAGAACTACAGCAACTGTGCTTGGAGCACATTCTCTCAATGATGTTACTGTATAAATTATGCACTTATTATACATCCATTACCTTGCATACTAACATTTTACAAAGGTTTCTTTTAAATTGCAAAAATTATTTATTATATTTGTGTTAGTCACATGCATGTGGTAAATATATTACATGTGACTGACAATTTCATAGAAATCAAAACATTTGTGTATATGTACATGTTATTTTTTTTATTTTCAATACAGTTTAATGTAAATGTTCAGTTATTTCTAAAGAAAACATTATTCAGTACTTCATTGCTGAATTTCAGATATTGTACTGTTATAATTATATATAGTTGGAATGGGGAAACTCAAATCAACAGCTAAATGTAAATCTAATACCCGCCTAGCTTCATGAATATATTAATATAATGCTGAGGAGTTTGCTTCTTGCAAATTACTGTTTACAAGCATTGCAATGATGAGTAATTGTCAAGTGGCATTGTGGCCTTAGTTTTCCTGTCACTAATAAACAGAGTATCTGTATATTACAGTATACCAGATATTTATGTAAACTCTAGGAGTATGATATGAAGGTGTGTTATGTGTACTTAAAAGAGTATCTGTATATTACAGTATACCAGATATTTATGTAAACTCTAGGAGTATGATATGAAGGTGTGTAATATCTATATATGTATGTATTGAGTGTATATAAGCAATAATGCTGCAAGATTAGTTGTATATATAAAAATGGTGGTCAATGCATTTGTGTATATAAATAATTACTTAGGTTTTAAAATGAACTTATCATACAGTTGTAGTATATATGGCTGGTTGTACTTACCTGTGATTTTCAGATATAATGAAAATAAATGTTAAAATGCAATAGAACTATTGACTCATTTTGGAGGATTTTTTTTTTGACAAGTGAGGTTAACCTTTGCATTTTAGAAAATAAGTATATATTTTTTGAGTATGCTGTTGCATTATCTATGATACAAAGTGACTAAAATGTTACCTTAAACTTTATCTTTATACATAGAAATTTAGTTAACTAGAAGTAAAAACATCCATCTATAGCTAAAAGTTTGAGAAGCTTGAAAACAAAAAAGTGTTGCCCTATGTTCTCAAAATATAAACAGAATTGAACACAAGTTGGATAATGCTTATAAGTCTTTGCGTCTTGTAAATTCTAAACAAAAGTTATTGGAGTTTCTAAAACCTAATCATATGGTTAGTATGAGAAACTTTGATTCCTTTTGTTAATGTCAGCTATTCTTATGCATCAATTGCAACCCAAGTGATTTGTTTCATGTATGTTTGTTTTTGTGTGTGTACTTTAAGACTAACTTTCATTAGCTTCTTCTCTGGCCCAATTATTTTTTGTTGTACTTTTCTATATTACACACTTATTAGGACTAATGCCATCCTTCACAAAACTACCATATCTGTACCTGGCTTATTTTTAAGACCCATTTTATTTTTGTGTAATTGTGTATACCAGTGTAATTTGTGATAAATCTAACATTATAATCAGTATTTTTACTATGATCAATATTTTATTATATCATCATCCATATGTACTCCAACTATGAAGATGGTATTATTTCATCAGTTCTTGTTATCTCCTTTGTCATTACACTTTTATTACCCCCATTATCAAATATATTTATCTTCACTTTTTGTATATACATAATTTACTCTGCAAATTTTGTTATGTGGAAGATTAATCATGGAATGTTTCCAAGCTTTCTCTTCTGAGTAATACAGTTTAAATTGTAATGTTGTCATGGTGCTATAATTTGTAGTCAAACTGATGTGTATACTTTATACTGATTATTTTATGGAACTGTTTTAAGATGTATGTCTGTATAGTTTTATATATAATACACAATTTCTATTCCTTAAAAAATACCATTGCCTTTAGATTTAATTTCCTATAAGAATATCAGAAGTCATTAAAAGAAAGAGAAGTTGCAATAAATATATATTAATGGGGGTTAAAAGGAAGGGCAAAAATTCATTCTTACAGTGTATTTACTTGGAAATACAAATATGGTCATTAGTCTTCAAAAATCTCTTTGCATATGACTCTTAAGAAATTCTAGAATATGCTATCTACCCCTTATTGGGAAAAGAAAATAAGACAAGAAAAAACAATATGAACATGCAGTGTAAAATATATTCTATTCTGAAGTACATATCAAATAGCTATAATTATACACTTTTTTATTTTAATCCTTTATATGACTTGAGGTTAAGGAAATAATTGAATTTATAAAAAAAAGATGTCTACCATTATTTCTGAGAAAACATATATATCCTCTGTGCTAGCTGCTGTACCATTGCATTTTCAACAGCATTGATGGCTGTTAGTTTGGGCCTTGCAGAACTGGGGGACACTCTGATGTGAAGAAGACTACAGAGTGAGATCAGCTGACGCTGACAACCACTGACTGCCTGCAAAGAAATGTATATTTGATTACCAATAACTTAAAAATTTGCCTTAGATGCAAGCTACACACCTCACTGTACATAGACAGAGATAGAGACTCAAATACTATGAGGAACATTGACACCCATACACATATTGAGAAGCAGTGACAGACAGACAGACAGAGCAGAAGAAAGGGGGAGCAGAGTGAAGGGAAGGGAGGTGGGGGGGGGGAGGGGGAGAGGGAGGGGAGAGAGAGAGGGAGGGAGAGAGGGAGAGAGAGAGAGAGAGAGAGAGAGAGAGAGAGAGAGAGAGAGGAGAGAGAGAGAGAGAGAGAGAGAGAGAGAGAGAGAGAGAGAGAGAGAGAGAGAGAGAGAGAGAGAGAGAGGGAGAGAGAGGGGGGGGGGGGGGAACAGACAGAGAGAAAATGTGAGAAATAATCTACTCTCACCTTTCATAAATTGTAATCAACCTACACAGCAACACCAAAAAGGCAAATCTTCACATACCTTAGCCAACTGTGCCTTCAGGGCTGGGTTGGTCCTTGCTTCAATTTTCTTCATGTTCATTTCCTCTGTGCTCATACCAATAAGGTTTTGCAGGATCTTAAAGGCAATAGCAATAGTTAATAGAATAATAATGATGGCAATAATACTAGTGATACTGTAAAAAAAAAAAAATATTAATAATAATACCAGAAGTAATGACATTTCTTTAAATTCCGCCATGGTAAGCTAGAAAGTACAATGGAACCCTCAAAGGTGAGCATATTTTCAAGCCACATCAAATTTTATGAAAATTTGTTTTCTTTGATAAAAATAATTGATAGTGTCAAAGAATAGAAATATTGATTTGGGCTAAGGTTACAGATAACCATGACCAAACAAAGGATGTGCATGACCTTAAATCAATTCTGCAATTCCACTCAGTATAACAGACAAATGCACTAATTTAGTCTAGTGATGCTACTAACACTTGAGTACTGCATCTGACACATGCTGAATTCGTGACTGCTTACACTCTGATGATATCAGGAATAAAATAAAATCACATCTAAGGTAAGAAAAATTTTGAGCTGAATAGGATTGAGCTGCTTTGACCATTCAGTGATGGGTACATCTATAACCACCATGACATAATGGCCTATTACGCATATATGCATCATGACTCGCAACTGGTGGGACAGCTGTGCAATACTGCATCACAAAAAATTCAGGCACCGTCATCGAAGAGTTTAAATGATTTAGGAAAAACAACAGCAAACATACGATGACAAAGTATACTGTTCTAGAGTATAAAACAATGGTGTTTTTGATGTTTTGATGCTGTTTACAGACTTCATAGATACACAAGCAGAAAAGATTTTTCCTAATATGGAAAAAAAAGACTGAAAACGTTATGGGATGGGAGGAAGGGACACAGAAAAAATTACTCCATTTCTAGGGAGAATTAATGTCGCATTTCTTTCAGGCCATCAACAATTACGCCTCTTCAGATTTGTGACACATATTCCTTAAATCCTCAAATGGTAATTAACATAGTCCACAGGCAACAGGTGAGATTGTTGTAAGGGATTCCAGTCAGTACATATTACCCTGTTAATGTTACCTCTTTACAATGACATTAAAAAATGACAATGAAATAGCAAAACATGGTAATATGTAATGGTGATGATAACAGTTATTACAATAATACTGACAGTAATACAACAATGGTACCAATAGCAGTGGTAATATCATCTAAAAATGGGGGGGGGATTGAGAAGGGGTGGCAGAGTGGGAGAGGGAAAGGGAGAAGGGAGGTGAAAGGTGAATAAATAAGTGGGTGGGGGCAGCGAGGAAGTGAGAAATACCAATGAATTTTTTTTCTTTGGAATTTCCATGGGTCCTACTAGTCATATTATTAGTAATAGTAATAATAATAACAATAATAATAATAAAAAAAAAATAATAATAATAATAATAATAATAATAATAATAATAATAATAAAATAATAATAATAATAATAATAATAATAATAATAACTATAACAAAAGTAATAATAATGGCAGTTTCAATAACACTAATATTAAGGATGGGCATAATGAAGATAATGTTGTTTATGATTACAATAGCAATACAGAGAAAAAATAATAATATCACTAATTATATGAGAGGAATTACAATCACCATACAAAATTCATCATTGTTATTAGGAATCATAATATGGTATGTACAAAGCAAAGTTCATCAGTTATAGAATATAAAATCTTGTGAAAAGTTATACTTCTTCAGTACTACTTTTCTGGCTGAAATCATCTTCAAAAATATACAATGTATACATAGTTTTTACAAATTTCACACACACATCCACAATGTTTTGTATATTCATTGTGACAACAGATGACTGTTTTGCTTAACCAAAAGCATAATTAGTATTACACCAAAATTAAACAGTCTATATTATTTTTTATATCCCTTTCTTTTCTTTAGGTTTTTAATCTATACATTCATATGCTATTGCCTCCCTAAAATTCTGTAAAGTTAATGAAATTGCTATTTGTAAAATATAACTATATTTTAACATGTTTTGAAAGGATATTGAAGATGATGAAATGAAAACAATTTTTTTCAATACTAACCTGGTCCTCGATATCCACTTCACATGAGGCTGTTCCATCATTAATGATGACTGTCAGTTTCCATTTGCCTTCCACTTGTTCCAGTCGTGACGTCAAAGTCATGATGAAACCCTTTACAACAATTTCCTGAAATATCAAGTAAAATTTCTTTACTGTTTCATTAAAGAAAACTTACATTTCTTCTTTTTGTTTATTTAACCCACTGGTGTTGGGAATGCATGCATACTTAACCTGTCTACTGTGATTTTCTTTCTTTTAATTTTGCTTACATATGATGGCCTAGAATAAGGAATCAGGAACTAAATCTACCTAATCTCACCTGTTAAACACAATCCTTGATTTTTCAGAAAAGTCTATACTTCTATTACTATCACTATTCCGAATAATAATATAATAATAACAGTGTTAATAATAAACAATAATGTTAACAATAATAGTAGTACTTGAAGTAAAATTCTTAATAAAAAATACAAGGACTGAGGTAAATAGTTAGGGTCAGGTAAGCCTAGTAATTGATTCCTCAGTGGCTATGTGATTGTGAAGCCATATGGGGTAAAAAAAAATTTCAAAATATTGTAAACCTAGCAAGAAGTTAAATGCATTCTTCTTAACAATTTTAAGTTACTATGCCAAGAATGCATGTATGGAGTCAACATGTGCTGTCCATAGCAGCTTTCTTTTACTAAGCTTGTTAAATAGATGATTTCGAAATGTTTAGTCACAAAGGACACAACTACTAGGTCTACCTAATATTAGCTGTTTATCCTCTTCCTTGATTTCATAAAAAGAGTTTTTCTTTTCATAAGTATTATTATTGTCTTATATCAACCCAAAGCAGATGTTTGTTTTCTGCACAAAACCGGAATATGAGCCAGGCACTATGTGAAGACACTCATTCAGGTGAAAGGTTTGAAGCAAGTGAAACAATTTCCTCACATTCTATGATGGCTGCAGCATGAAAGAAACTCAAAAATAACTTTAACTCCACTTTTGTGGGGCTGTAACTCCTTAATCACTGAGTGAACAATCATTTAGCAAGCATAACAACAATCATTTTGCATACACAACTTAAAGTGGGTTTGTCATGTGTGGCATGAGTGTACATACCACCCAGAGAGGAGTCCAGGCATATCATGGTACATATGTGCATGTTACCCACTGGCAAGGGGGTTAATGATAATG